GGGTCAGCTGGCGCGAGGGCGGGCACGGTGGCAGGAGCAGCCGCAAGTGCAGCGAGGGAGGGACGAAGGCGGCACGAGGAGGCCAGAGAGGCGGCGGCGGCGGCGGCGGCGGCGGCGGCGGCGGCACTGCCCCAGGGGGGAGGGGAAGAGAGAAAATGTACGTACGTCGACCAGCGCATTGGCCACCTGGGTCAGGGCGGCCAGGGCCCCGGGGGCCCAGAACACGCGCAAGATCCCGCAGTACCCGCGGATCTCGTGGACGGTGGCCACCAGCCGGTCGAAGTCCTCGGCGATGGCGGCCTCGGCGAAGATGGCCCCGGAAAAGCCGCCGGCCGCCGGGGCAAAGGCATCCGCATGGAGCTCCGGCACCAGGCGCCGGCCGAGGACCGTCTGCACGTCGGCCACCTCCACCGTCAGGGGGAAGGGCCGGCGGCTGTCCAGCAGGAAGCCCACCAGCCCCCGGACCAGGTACTCCCAGATGGCATTGAACACCGGCTCCACAAAGAGCGGCAGCGTGTGCGGGTCGATGGGGTTCCCCCGGAAGAGGAGCCCAGCCGCATTGAGGTACGGCGTGACATTGCTGACCCAGCGGGCCCCGCCGCCGCCGCCGGTGGCCAGCGAAGACGAGGAGGACGAGGAGGACGAGGAAAAGCCCGTGCCCCCGGCGGTCGGCGTGGCCGGCGTGGCCGGCGTGGCCGGACCCGCCGAGCTGACATCCGTCATGGAGCCCGAGTGCTGGCCCGGGCCAGGGAAAGACCCGTCGCCGCCCTCGGCGCCGCCGTGGCCGTGGCCGTGGCCGTGGCCGTGGCCGTGGCCGTGGCCGTGAGCATGACCACGCCCGGTCGCCGGGGTGTGAAGCTGCGCCAGCAGGGGCCCGGAGGAGGGGATGCCACCGGGGCTGGGGCCGGCCCCGGCCGAGGGCGGGGAGCCCAGCCGATCGGCATCACCCTCCGGCCCGGGCCCCAGCGAGGAGGAGCCCGCCGAGGGCGAGGCCGAGGCCGACGCCCACGGGAAGACCCCGATCAGGCCCCCGGTGGAGGAGCGCCGCGAACGGAGAGTGCCACCAGCGCCAGCGCCGGTGGCCCCGCCCAACGGCGAGGGGAGGTGCGAGGGGGACCCGCCAGCGGCGCCGCTCCCACCGCCTCCGCCGCCGCCGGTGCTCGGGACACCGCCCCCATCGATGGCCGACAGGGAGTGGCACGAGGCGGATACCGGCAGCCCGGCGGCGGCCGTGGCCGTGGCCGTGGCCGTGGCCGAGGAGGAGCTCGTGTCCTGGTGCGGCCCGGCCGTCATCAGCGACTGGTAGACACTCAATGAGGCCGTGGAGGAGGTGAGCACCGGGCCGTCGATGGTCATGGCCGCACCGGGGCCGGTGCCGGCGGCCAGCGACCCGCCTGGCGACCCGGCTCCCCCCACGGACCCGGCCGAGCCGGAGCCCGCGGCCGACTCACTGCCGGCCCCGCCGGCGCCCACCGCCCCGAAGGAGATCCCCTTGAGCATCATGGTCGACCGGCGCAGGAGCCGCGATGGAGTGGAGGAGGAGGAGGAGGAGGACGAGGAGGAGGAGGACGAGTCGCCGGAGGGGGCGTCGCCGGTGGCCGACGGCGGCCCGGCCGAGGACTGGCGCCGGAAGAGCCGCGTCCGCGGGGTGACCGACGACGGGGCCGTGGCGGCGGCCGGCGAGGCCGGCACCCCGACCAGCAGGAACCCGGTGTCCGAGTCGGAGCCACACTCCACCGCCGACGGGGGGCTGAAGGCCCCGGAGGAGGAGCCCCCGGGCCCGGTGGTGGAGGCCCCCGGCGTGTCGGGCGACAGGATCTGGGTGAAGGAGCCGGGAAGGGGCCCGGCGGCCGGGGCTGCCGCCGTGCCGGGGCCAGTGGCCGGGGCCGCGGCCGGGGCCGCGGCCGGGCGCCTGCGGTGGCGAGGGCCGCCATCGTCGGTGTCGCTGCCGCTGTCGGTGTCGCTGCCGCTGTCATCCGAGGAGTAGGACGAGCTGGAAGCCGAGGAGGACAGGCAGCTGGAGTCGGAGGTGAAGTGCGCGCCGCCGGTGGCCACGCGCGGGAGCCGGGCCCCGGCCACGCGGCGCTCGGCCAGAGACCGGCCACCGGGGCCGGCCGTGCGGCTGGCAGACCGACCGCCCCGGGGGCCACCGGCCAGATGGTGGTGGTCCTGCTCCCCCCCCTCCTCCTCCTCCCCCTCCTCCTCCCCCTCGTCGGAGAAGTCCGACAGGTCGGAGAAGCCGCTGTCCGAATCGGACACCCCCGACGACAGGAGCGACTGGGAGGAGGGAAGCCGGCGGCGGGCGGCGCGCTGCTGAGCCCGCTGCTGCAGGGCCGCCGCACGCTGGGCCGAGATCTCCGCGTGCAGCATGTCGCTGATGGAGTGGGCCTGCAGCGAGACCGAGGTGGACAGCCGGCCGGGCGGGCGCCCGCCGGCCCCGGCAGCCGACCCCACATCCGCCGGGGAGGTGGGCAGCGGGGCCAGGTACATGTCGGACCGGGCACCGGCCGGCACGTCGGCCGGCGACAGCAGCGGCGACAGACGAACCACGCCATCGGCCCCGGCACGGGTCAACGACAGGGAGGCCTCCTGGATGTCCATGGCCGAGAGGCCAAGCTGCGAGGAGGTCGACCGACGGATGGTCCCGCCGGTGGACGAGGCGGCCCCGAGCCGGGGGAAGCGCGCGCCGCCGGGCAGGAAGCGCGAGGCCGAGGGGGAAGGGGGAACCGGCGGGAGCCCGGCCCCGGCGGCGCTCGACCCGTCCAGAGGGGCATGGGTGTCGGCGCGCAGGGCCCGGGCATTTTGCGCCAGGCGCTGCTGCTGAGCCGGGGACATGGTGGGGGCCGGCTCGGCCAGGTGGTCGGCAATGGCCCCGGTTGAGCGGCTCTTCTTGATGGCCCCGGCGGCCGGGATGTCCCCATGGCCGGCGGTCGGGCCGCCGGTGCCGGTGCCGGTGCCGGTGCTGGTGCTGGGCGACGCGAGCCCGGTGGCCTGGCTGCTGGCGGTGTTCTGGAAGAACATCGGCAAAAAGCGCGACGTGGCGGCCGGCTTGCCGCTGCCGCTGCCGGCGGTGGTGCCCGGCGACTTGGAGGGGGTGCCAATGCTGCTGCTGCCGCCGCCGGTGCAGCCCTGGCACGGGGCGCGCACCTCGCCCAGGGAGCAGGAGCACATCGAGGAGGCGGGCCCGGGGGCGGGCCGTCCGGAGGCGGGCGGCGGGGCCGATGTGGGGCCGGCCTCGGCCGCCACGTCGGACAAGTTGCCCACCGAGGTGGACGTGCGGATGGCACTCGGCCGCAGGGAGGGCGAGGAGATGGACAGGAAGGAGGACTGCACCATGGACGAAGAGGAGGAGGACGAAACGAAGGACGAGGAGGAGCTGGCACTGGAGAAGGGCCAGAAGGAGGTCCTGCTGCTGCTGCTGCCGCCGCCGCCGTCGGAGGTGGCCACCACCCCGGGGATTACAAG